AGGATTTGAATCTAGGCAGTCTTATGCCAATGCACCCTTCTGCTTACTGCACTAATACTTCAGCTGGTTTGCTGATCATAGATCTGAGTAAGGGCTCAAAGAGTTTGCATGGTGATGCTGGTGGGGGAGGAGAAGGATTAAGTAAGATTATGAAGGCTCAGACTTCTGAAAAGAACTAAAGTAAATGTGAATGTGAGCGTAATGGGATTAATCCGGCCAGAGAATCTCTTGAGTATATTTGGAGCTGCATATTCTGCAGCCCTGAATGGTACAGCTGTTGGGAAAGGCAGTTTACTTGACCAGGAACAGGAGGTACTGTGCTGTGAAGCTTTCCAAGCTACTGTAGTCTATGTTTTCCTCTTCTCTTGCACAGTTTTTACACATTCTACAGATATCTTAAATCCACTTCCAGGAAAAGCTTCCTCTAATCACTCCTACATTAGGTTGCAGGACCCTGCTATGCACTGCCATGTCCTCCTATCGTTCAGCATTTTTCTCATCCAGAAGAATACAAGGTCAGTGAAAACAAGGTCTCTATCTTGCTCCCATTGTATCCCACCACTTAGCACAGTGTCTTGGCTAATAGACTCTCAATAAATATTTGTTAAATTAATGCAATATATTCAGTGAATGAGTTAGTAATTAGCATCAGAAATATGAGAAATGAAAAGATCAGAATGGCTGGGCCTGCTCTACCTCCACTACCTTTTGTTGGTATGTCAGTGTAAAACCAAAAATGAACACCCAAAGCCTAAAAGCTTGAGTATATGAGAAAACAGGCTCTCTAAAATCTGAGATTTATACAGACATGTGAAAATCCATGAGAAAAGCTAACACATCCCAATCTTTAGGAGAGAAATACTAATTATGGGGAGGTATTCTTTAGGGAAGAAAAAGATACTGTCATTAGCCGTATGTTGTTGAACATTTGTGAAAGCAGCAGCTTCCAGCTGAATGTTCTGACCCAGATCTGTCAGGCCATATTTGGCTTTATCTAAAATATGCCGTGCCTACCCAGTTCTTGCGGAAGGGAAAACGAGCACTTCTGAATCACCTAAATAAAAATATAGTTTATTGGGAAGTTAAATAGATATGTGGAAGATCTTCTTTTTTTGTTTCCAATTTTACTATCTTTTTAATAGGTAATATATTCACATAGTTCAAAAGTCAAATGATATAAAATGGTATACATTAAGAAGTTTCTTTCCCATTCCTATCCCTGACCACCTCATTCTCTATATCCTTCCACACCACTAACAACTTATTTTTTCCAATATTTATTTATGCCGACAGAAATAAATGTTTGCATGCTAATACCCCTCTTCTTCCTCCTCTCCCCCTTACAGTATAATATGTATTATTCTATAGCTTGTTTTTTTTCTGCATATGTCCTGGAGATAGTTCTATAACAATACATTAACAGCTTCCTTTTCCTTTTGTTTTACAGTTACATTGTGTTCCAAAGTGTGAAGGACCCATAGTTTATAAACCTGTTCCCTACTGATGGTATGTAAGCTATTTCCAATCTTCTGCTGTAACAATGATGTAATAAATAACCTTAAATGTGAAAAAGAAGACTATTTCAGACTGGTACAAATAAGAGTGGATTAGAGCATTGAGTGGGGACTATCTGGCAAGTAGCTAAAGCAGGAGTCCCTTTGTTGGACTGGGCAGTAAGGTTGTTGTGAGGGCATTGTAGTCAGTTGAATGTGTAATGAATGACCAGACAGATCTGTAAAAGAACTAGTTTTTTCCTGGATTTGTTTTTCCCAGATGCAATAAACAGAAGGTTTTAGAGAGTACAGCATCAAGTAGGGAGACTCATCTGTACAGCTCCAGGCGCCCCTAAGTTTAATAAGATGTTTTTAGCATTCAGAAAATAACATGCAATTTGTCCTTAGGAATACACAATGATTAGAAAAGCTTATTCTCAGCCACTTCCCTAAATTCCAATAACTTTTTTTTAAAGAGGCCAAGACTTGTGATTAAAGATTTAAAAAGGCTTTCTGCCTGATAAGGCTCTGACAGTCTAAATAGACGTAGCACAGAAGGCAATGTTGATGGTCCATCCAACATCTATCCTCCTTCATTCCTGCTGGCAGGGCCCTGCCTTTGCCAGGTAGTCTCTTCTACAATGTAGCACAGACTGGCCTCATTCCCATCTCAGGGTGGATCCTGATTGGTCTAAATCAATTACGCTGGCAACATGCCCTATGAAGATGCTTGGCTGCGGTATTTGCATATGACCCAATTTTGGCCAATAACACTAGCAGACAAGCTGTTTGGACAGGGAGGGTAGGCTTTTAGGAGCAGTTAAAAGTCACTGTCCTCTTTTCTTTGTGGGCTAAGACGTGGTATCGCAAGTCTGCCCCAGCTCTGTTGGTCTTATCAGAGTGGAAGGCAGAATCACCCCTGACCTGACCCAGCCACAGCTACCTCACGGGTATCTGGAGAACGAGGGCTGAGTAGAACAGCAGGCACCTGGGCAGGTACTCCTTCAAACAACTTTCTTTAAATAATTGTTTAACATATTGGAGTCAGGCTGACACAGATTTTCTATTAATACTTTGTTTACTAGAAACAAACTACCTTCAATTCATTTTCTCTAACTGAAGCAAAGGCAGTATTCTGAAAATACCTGTCAGTTCACTTTTCCTTTAACTCTCCTCTTTTGAAGCTCTTTTATAATTTTTTGGAACCAGACAAGTTCCTTAGGGCACACTGAAGAACCAGTTTGGCTAATACAAAAGGTCACAACTATCAGCTACACAGCACTACCCATCCATTATTGCTTTTAGGATCTCTGTTCTGCTTTCATTTGAGAGCTACTGCTCGTGGATGTTGCAGAAAAATTCAGCAAGGATATAGATCTGCTTTAGAAAAGAATGTTTAAATTTTGCCTCAAAGGCAATAGTTTGGACGGGGCCAATATACATTTTGTCAGTTTGTTCCAGTGATTAGCATCACTTAATAGAGGAGCATACCATAATAAACTGGTTACTTATCTCCTGATGTGGCTCTGGTTCACAGATTAAATATGAAGACTGACAGAGTGGAATACAAAGTACCATGGAGCACAGAGGAAGAAAACAATGCCTTTTTAAGGCTCTTAAGAAAGTAGTTTGTATACTGGGAGAAGGCAAGGGTTTTAGAGCCAGAAAACAGGCCCAGCGATTTCCTTGGTAGTACCCAAAACAAAAATTAAAATGTGAGGCCGCTTGTTAGAAAATTAGTAAAAATTTCGCGACAGCAACAGTGAGCATTAAACCAAGTGTGGGGGCGGCGGCATACCCAGGGCTTTAAGTTCAAATCTCACTCGTGCCCCCCCAAAGCTTCCTAGCATTTGGAAGAGGTGACAAGTCACCCTCTTTGAGTCTTCCCTTTTTATACGTAAAATTGTGATAATTGAACCTCCCTTGAAGAGTTGTTATGAGGGTGGGATGAAAAGCACCTGACACATGATAGGTGCACATTCCTCTTAGTCTAGGATGTGGGCTCTTTCTTCGGTTGTTCTCTAGAGGCATCTATCTTTGACATTCTATTGTCATTTCCCACTTTCAACATTTTTCAAAAGAGTATTAGGGTGAACCTTATAAAATGGTCCAAATCTGACCACTTAGGATCTACAAAACGGCAAATAATCAAACATATACAAACTCCTTAGCACAACTTGGAACAACATCGACCTCAGACCAGGGCAACAGGGCTCATTCCCCTGCCCCTGAGTTATAGCGGACACGCGCCCCTACCCCCGCCCTACTCCCCCACGCAATCTTCAGACGCGCTCTTCCCCCACCTAACATGGAGTCCCTGGAGCACACTCCCCTTCTAGGCCACACTCCAGTACCCGGAATTCCGAGATTCATACCCAAACGGCCCTCAGCCCGCTTCCAGAACCGCTCGGCCTCTGCTCAGGGGACTTCTCCCCGCACGCTGTGCGCAAAACGTGGGCCCCAAGAACTACCACGCGGCTGCAGTTTGCGGGTAGAGGAGCGGAGACTTGACCACGCTGGTTGCGGGAGGGAGGAGCGGTAGAGGGGCGGGGCCGGCACGCCTGCGCACCAGGCCCCTCGCGGGGCCGCACGGGGCCGCACGGGCCCGGGTGGGAAGAGGTGGGCTGGCTCCACGGTTCCCTTTCATTCGTTCGTTTGCCCCTCCTCTCGCCCCCTCCCTCTCTCTCTAACGGGCCAGCCTGGCTTTCAAGGTCCCCTATATTATGGCCCCCAACCTGCTCTTTACAGTTTTATCTGTATACATGCTTCTCGGCACCTTTTCCCAACTGCTATGATTCCCTCAAGTATTCTGGGCATTTAAAAATACCTCTATGCTGTCTACACGATGCTGTCTCAACCCCTTCTCCCTTTTCTCCACCTGAATAAATTAATCATCCCTAGGAGTCCTCCCCGCCAACCCAACCCTTACCACCAGGCAGGGGAAGATGCTGCCTATGTCTTTCTCCGTGACCTCCTAACATCCCCTATGAAAACACATCACAGTATGTGTAATTATTATTATTTTTGCCCCTAGACTGTGTGGGGGCTCTTTGAGGGCAGTAAACATGCTTCTTTCTTTATACTTCTTCTTAGTACCTACCCCAGCACCTGGCACTCAGTCACCAAAAATTATCTTTCAGTGTGGTGTAGTCATCAAAATCCCAGCTCCCCCAGTGACCAAATGGCCTTAAGCAAAATTACCGAAATCAGTTTCCTCTTCCTTAAAATAGAAATGAACACACTTTCCTTCTTGAATAGCGCTAAGGATTAAATAAAGTAATTCATCCAAATTGCTTCAGCACAATGATAAATAGTATGGGCTCAATAAAGGATAACCATGATTAACTTAGCTCCTATACCCTGATTCCTGGTAACCTGTAGGAGGAAGTAAAGAGTCCTTTGAAGTTGGAAGTGTGGTTTCTATTTTGACGAGAAAAATTTGTATTTAATAACATAATCTTAATAGAAGTGTGAAAAAAAGGGTGTAAAAAATTACCTGAGGTAACACTTGCTTGGAAATGGTTTTATTAAAAAGGTACCAAGACATATTTTTTAAGTAAATTCATTATGTAACTTGGTAGCCTTCGCCAAAATGGGTGAGAAAAATAAAATCTATTTTGAGAGGTATTCATAATAATGTTTATCAATAAATACAGAAATAAAATGTAACTACCTTTGAGAACTTCTTTAAGAACTTTACATGGATATATATATATAACTATCATGTTTTTATAACTATTCTTACAAAATGTAGGTATTACTACAAAAATGCTGCAAGCATACATATACACATTCAGCTTAGTTTTTTTAAAAAAGAAATATTTAATTACAAAAAAATATGCTAATAGAAACAGAAAACAATTTCTGAGTTACTATAATAGATCATATCATCTGCTATGATTTGGTACCCCAAATTGTCTAATTGTCTATTAGCATATTGTGCAATATTAAATTAGGCTACTGATATTTGCATTATTGTACATACAAATCCTCTTTTTAAAGAGAAAACAAAAAAGGGAATATTATCTAAGCTTGCAGAAAAAATAAAAATTGTTTTATGTAACTTATTTGAAGCATATTGCTCATATAGAATAAAATTGACCTACTTTGTTAAAGATCTCAATCATTTTCCAAGCTAGTGCAAAATAAAGTCAGACACCATTTTTGTCTGCAAAGTATTCACCCTAGTATGATGACACCTGTTTGCTTACAATCTCAACTATGGGAGACTATAAGCCTATCTACAATGGGTAATTGTACTAATTATTTTTCACAATGGCACATCTCACTGCATTTAGATTGGCTTAAATCATAGAAGCTGCTAATTTAAAACCCTAACATATATGAAGATATCTGAGGTTGAGAATGAGTAAGTTATGGGGTAGGAGAAGATATCACTAGTAAATTCAGGGAGATTTCTACGGCACAGAAGGAAATCTGGCAAATCTTGTGTATTCTAAGTGGCAGAACTGAAAAATAATAGCTTTACAATAAAAACAGCAATATCACAGTAAAGTAGCTTTTCTTTGCGTTGCCTTTTGTGCTTTAAAGTATAATAAATGGGATATCAACTTTACTCTTGCCGTAATGCTAAGACACAAATATTTGAATTCTGAATTGGAGGCCAGAGGAAGCAGGAACTCATTATGGAAAGAGATGGCGGAGTTTGGTGTTGAGTTCTCTCTCCTTGCTTAAAAGATCCAGGGTGTGCTTTTTGAAGGCTTCAGACTGCAGCCTGAGTTCGTCATAGGCCTTCTGGATCCCATCTACTTTGCGCTGAAGCTCCCTGACTCTCAAGTTGCTGTCCACGGCCACTGCCTCTTGCTCAAACCGCTCCAGTGCTTGCCTCCTGGCCTCATTTGCCATCTCCAACTTCTCCTCAAGCACGCGGATCTCAGCCTGTTTGTTCTGAAGCGCTTTACCCCTTTCCATGGACAGCTGCAGCAGCTCCTCTTTCTCTCTAGTGACGGTCTGCAGCCTGGCCTGCAGCTCCTGGCTCAGGCTGCTGTGTGTCTCCTCTGCCTTCAGCATCTGCTCCACAGCCTGCTGGTGCTGCTGCTTGAGGCTCTGCAGCTGGCTGCGCAGCTGTTCTGTCTCCTTGGTGTGGGTGCAGGCCTGCTGGCTCTGTAGCTCCAGCAGCTCCTTCTCGCGGGCCTGTGCTTGGCAGGCATCTTGAGCACACCTCTCCTTCAGCGTCTTCAGCTCCCCAGTGAGGGCCTCACACTGGATGGTGAGCTGCAATACTTGGGCCTCCTCATCCTTCAGAGCCTGGCTGAACAGACTGTTATTCTCCAGCCTCAGCTTCTCATTCTCCTCCCTCAGCTTGATGTTCTGACTCTTGTGTTCATCCTTGAAGCGGATCATCAACTCGTGGTTGGCTGCTAGGGTCATAAAGCGTTCCTCTAGCTTCCGAGTGTACTCACCCTGGGCCTTGAGCTTCTCAGCCTCCTGCATCCTCTTCTGCTCCAGCTCTGCATTGAGCAGCTCTAGGATCTTGCAGCGCTCCAGGGCCTCATCTGACCTCCGCTTCAGGATGCAGATGAGCTGGGACTGCTCTTGAATGCGGGAGCGAAGCATCGCCTTCTCGCTCCTCTCCTCCTCTGACAGTCCTCGGAGGTTCGCCAAGGCTTCTCTCAGACCGTCCATTTCCTTAAACTCCATCTCCTCTTCCTGGTTGTTCAGTTTTTCATTTTGATTCTCTAACGATTCTTCAGGGCGCGGCGTGTCCATCCTGGGAGCCTGCCTTTTCTGGGGCATAGGTGCTCTCCTCCAGTTAAGAGCTGACTACAGTCTTTTCCCCTCAGATTTCAAAGGCTGCAGAGCGTTGCTAGGGACTCTTGGCACTCCCCAGCAGCTGGTTTTTCCAGTAAGGAGCCCTGTGATTGGTGGCCAGGTCTTCAGAATGTTATGAAGTAACGACAGGGAAATCTGAGGGAGTCCAGAGCCAATCTGGTCGGGTTACTTTTGCCTTGCTAACCAATCACAGCTCTCAGTTGTCAGCTGTCTAGTGTGTGGCCTGTCCAGCACAGAGATGCCAACCCCACCCAATCTCCAGCCAGCATCAGGGGAGGAAACCTGACTCCACCTGATTTCTGGTAGTATTAAACAAATGAAGCTGGCAATTATATATTCCTCCTCCTCTGTTATCACGTAAATAAATGACTGTTTGTGGAAACACGGTTGAGTCCTCAAAAGTTTCCAGTCTATGAATACAAAGCAGTAGTAGTATTCTGAGAGCCAGGATCCTAAAAAGGCTACATGTCTGCACCCGTAGTGTTTGGCACACCTCCGTTTTGGTATTTAAGTATTAAAATAGCAAACCCCTGTGAAATTTCTCTTGTTTTCCTTAGCGTGTTCCCACCTGGGCATAGATACTCTTTATTAGATATTTAGCACCGCCATTTTTAGCCATTAGCAAAATAAGGCTACAGAAAGTTTAGTGAACCATATAAACTTTAAAACAGAAAAAATAAGATCCAAATGAGGTTTACCATTTTATGCCAAAGTCAACTCCTGATGGATTAAATGTAAACAGAAACTAGAAGAAAATGAAGGTAAACATCAAATCTCTGGGGCTAGGAAGGATTTTAAACATTATGTAAGATCAGAAAAGGAAAGCTTACTCAATTAGACTTCATTGAAAAAAATTAAGTTATGTATAATTTTTTAAATTATGTAACTTCTGAGGTCTCTCCAGGCCCTTCTTCCACTGAATTGTCCTGACATTTTACTCCTCAGACAAACCAGACTACAAAGCCAAACCCAAATCCACTAACCAGCTCTCTGGCCCTATCTTTAGGTGTTCCTCTATCTGGAATGCCTTTTTGTACTTTGTCCCTTGTCACTCTAGTAAAGCTTTTTGTTCTTAGTTAAGAATCATCTCTGAAGCCTTTTCCTGGCCCCTACATGTCGAATGGGTCACTCACATCTTTTAGTGCATCCACTATAGCCTATTTGTACTTCTGGTGGAGGATGTGAAAACTTTCTTGCAATCACTGTTTATCCACCAGCTTCCCTCTGTTAGGCTGTGAGATCCTTAAGGCAGGGACTGTATCTATTTCATCCTCGATGATTAGACTAGTGCCTGGCACATGGGGGAGATTCAGATAAATATGTATTAAGTGGACACTGAAGGTAAAAATTAAATTGAGAAAAATATCCATAATATGACAGACACTTTTTTTTTTTTTTTTGAGATGGAGTCTCCCTCCATTACCCAGGCTGGAATGCAGTGGTGCAATCTCAGTTCACTGCAACCTCCACCTCCCAGGCTCAAGCAATTCTCCTGCCTCAGCCTCTCGAGTAGCTGGGATTACAGGTACGTACCACCACACCCGGCTAATTTTTGCATTTTTAGTAGAGATGAAGTTTCACCCTGTTGGCCAGGCTGGTCTTGAACTCCTGACCTCAAATGAGCCACCCGCCTCAGGCTCCCAAAGTGCTGAGATTACAGGCATGAGCCACCACGCCCAGCCTAGACACTACATTTTTTAAAATAAAGATTTTATACATATCAACAAAACATTAACATCTTAAGAGAAAAATAAACAATTAAATTCACAAACTAAAATGGCCAAGAATTTAACCTCTACAGTGATCCAATAAATACAAGTTAAAATTAGATATAATTTCATGTATCAAATTAGTCAAAAAATTTTCTGTTAAGACTAGCCAGGACTGGAAAAGCATATTGAAATAGGTACTTTCTTAAACTGTTGGTGACAGTCAGTTGACAGTAGGTACTGAGAACTTAAGATATTTTTATGCCTTTTGAATTAGCAATTCTTCTGGGGAGATCTTTGCTTAGGAAATAATTTGAAAGAAAATATTTTGCTCAAAGCTTTTCATTGTAGTGTGGTTTGTCACAAATAAAAGTTGAAAACCCAAGTGTTCAAAAAAAAGGGAATGGTTACAAAAATTATGATATATTCATAAAAATTCTTGTGTAGCCACTCAACATTATTACATTTATAGGGATGTTTTAATGGCATGAAAAAGTTTTATGTTAGAAAGATAACTGGAAAAGGCAAAATACAAAACTTAAAATTCAGATAATTTCTATCCTGTGAAAATTAAGGGTAGGGAAAAGAGTTGACTATTCCTGTGGACACAATTTCTGTTGGTCAGACTTATTATCTCCCAAGTCATGATGATAAGGAAAAATCCTGGGTGTCATTATAGAGATGGGATGAATTTTTAAATGCTTCATATTTTACTGGGAGCAAAACAAATCTGAAACAAGAGTTTCAGGTTTTTCCCTCACTGTCAAAGATCAAGGTCTCATGATTCAAGTCCTGAATTTCGTGTCTATATAAGAAAAGCAAGATTGAGGACAGGGAAATTTTCTAAGCTGAAATTTTAACAACTACTTAAACAATAGGATATTGACATTTTGTAAAAGTGAGTTCCAAAGACTTTAAAAATTGAATTAAACTTACTTGCAATTTTTTTCACATTTTTCTTCTGTCCTTTTCCTTAAATTTCAAGCTTCATGGAGATTGTTTAGTCATTTTCAAGACAAATGACTAGAAAATTAGAAGGGTCCTCTAAATAAAAGGGTCTTACAAACATTGAAAATTTTGTTGATTATATGGTTGTCTGATATTGTAAAGTGAATTCACAAAATACATGTCCTAAGAAGAGGAAAAGAATTCAGGAAAAATACTCAAAATATACACATACACATTTATTTTTGTTGTTGTTGTTTGTTTGAGTTTGTTGTTTTTGAGATGGAGTTTCGCTCTTACTGCATAAGCTGAAGTGCAATGGTGCGATCTTGACTCACCGCAACCTCCCCCTCCTGGGTTCAAGTGATTCTCCTGCCTCAGCCTCCCGAGTAGCTGGGATTACAGGCATGCACCACCACACCTGGCTACTTTTTGTATTTTTAGTAGAGACAGGGCTTTACCATGTTGGCTAGGCTGGTCTCGAACTCCTGACCTCAGGCGATCTGCCCAACATGGCCTCCCAAAATGCTCGGATTACAGGCTTGAGCTACAATGCCTGGCCCACATTTTGTTGTTGTTGTTGTTGTTTTTGAGATGGAGTCTCCCTCTGTGACTAGACTGGGTGCAGAGGCACAATCTTGGCTCTCCACAACCACCGCTTCCCGGGTTCAAGCGATTTTCCTGCCTCAGCCTCCCAAGTAGCTGGCATTACAGGCGTGCGCCACCACACCCACCTAACTTTTTGCATTTGTAGTGGAGACGGGGTTTCACCATGTATGTCAGGATGGTCATGATCTCCTGACCTCGTGATCCGCCCACCTTGACTTCCCAAAGTGCTGGGATTACAGGCAAGAGCCACCACGCTGGCCTCACATTTGTTTTTTAAGAGTCAGGATCTCACTCTGTTGCCCAAGCTGAGATCCTGTGCTCTCAGGTAGTGTGATCATAACTCACTGCAGTCTTGAATTCCTGGACTTAAGCAACCGTCCTGCCTCAGCCTCCTGAGCAGCCAGAACTACAGGTGTGTATCACCACGTCCAACTAAATTTTCCACATTTAAAAAAGCGTATATTTCTTTTTTGCTAAATATATTTTAATATATATGTTTCTATTATATTTATGCTTATATTATTTTAAATAACATTACATCTATAGATTATTTATCAAGGCCAAGAATCTGACAATATCCTAATCAATATTCATTCATTTATTCGATAAACATTTGCAAGGTTATTTGCAATGCTAGATGCTAAGAATATATTAATAAAATAGATATAATTACTGTGCTCAAATAACTTAGTTTAGTAACCACTTTGGTTCCTCTCTGCCATGGTTGTTTCCTTTGTTCAATCATTTTTTTCTAGCTACCTTTGTTCCTAAAAGTATCCCATATATTCCCTTCCCAGAGATCCAAGGTGACCAATGCTCTCCCTAGTGGTGCCCAATGAGTCCTCTCCACTTATCTTTAAGTCTTTCCATGTTTCCCTCTCTGTTAAAGTTACCATTTACAGAGCTCTTCTAGGTACTAGGCATTTGTACATCTCTCACTTAATTCTAATGATATTCTTGAAGGGTAGGCATTATTATCCACATTTTATAGTTTACAGGTAACAAAGAAACCAATGTTTAGAGAGGTCAAGCAAATTGTCTCATGTCACCCAGAGAATAAGTGATGGAGCCCGGATTCAAATCTAGATCTTTCCAATACCAAAGCCCATGATCTTAGGTCACACTTCATTTGTTCATTTGATCATTCATTCATTCATCTCACATAGACTGAGAAACTATTATATCCAAGACTGAAGTCCTAACTGTCAAGATGATTACAGTTTAGTGACAGAGACAGATAAACAGCCACAATTCAGTGTGATCACTGCTAAAGTAATTATGGATAAATTAGACATCACTCTTTTCAAAGATACAGTGGTAAACACGGGGTGTTACTGAAGCCACAAAGAAGGGATACAAAACCAGTCTTGGATGAAAGGGGCATATTAGTCAAGACTGTTTTAATAAAAACTCAATTCAATTTAGCTAAGCCAAGTGGAAGTGTATTGGCTCACAGAAAGTGCACTGAGGGAGCTCATAGAGTCAAAGCAGGAGTGGCAGGAACTAGGTAGGACCTCAACAACCAAAACCTCAGATGCAAAGCCACCAGAACTCTTTATTTCTCCATCTATTTCTCATCTCTATTGTAGACAGAGTGGATGTGTGATTTTCTCCAGCCACAGTTTGCACCAAGGATAGAAGTGCTGGGTAGCTCCATTGGATTTTCGTAGGGATGGGATCTGTAATAGTGCTGGTGGGTGGGTATTCAGTGGGAAGAAAAGAAAGAAAAAATTTTGAGGCTATTGGAAGGAGAGTAGTTGACTGGATAGAGGAGTGATAGTGGGAGGTGGTTGATAGGTGTTTAAGGGATGGAGTCCACAATGACTTTTATAAATAGATGTTCCAGAATAATAAACTGAAAGCTGAAAGCACAGGAGATTTTGGTCAGAGTGGGATGTTTACATTTAATGCTTCAAAGGTAAAAGTTCCCAGTTATAAGGAAGTTCATGGATTTGTGTGGCTGAAAGGAATAGAAGTTAAGGACATTTAAATTGAGATGGTCAAGGAACTGGGAAACCAGGGTGTCTGATGAACATTCATATGCTGTGGAGCCAGGTGTCAGGGCCATCAATGAATGAGTTGAGGATGGTAGATGACAACAAGGGGTGGTAGGGATAATCATAAAGCAAACATTTACAGAATGCTATCTGTCAAAAGTGAGCACTATATCGATTCATTTATTTTCTCTTATAGAGTAGGTACAATGTCCCCCCGCCTTTTTTTTTTTTTATAGATGAAACACAAAGAAGTTAGATAACTTGTCCAAGATCACACAGCTACTAAGTGCTTTAACTGAGATTCAGATATAAGCTGCCTGTTTCTGGAGGTCACTTAATCACTACACTGTACTCCCTTCCTGATATAACTGGATAGCATACATTCTTAGAAACATTTACAGGAATAGAGAGGAGCAATAATCTGAAATCTGATCCCACATCCTGACTCAGGTACTCAGTGTGAGAGAGTGCCTTCTTTTTGTAAGGCTGAAGGATAACCAGTTCTTTTGGAAAAACCCAGCCAAACAAAAAAGGGAATAGTCTGTGATTGAATCAAGCATGTGGGGTCATTTGTTTTATAAAACAAACTAGTGAATAAGCCTTGGAGAGAGTGAGGATGAGAGCAGATGAGAGAGCAATCCCAAAGCAGAATGGGAATAAAAGTACAGTGGAAGGAGATAGTTGGGACTTTTTACTTGTATAGTGAGTATGAATGCTAGGGATCTGCAAAGATGTCTAAGCAAGTTCCCTGGAAAATACAGCTGAGGGGAAGGGTAGTAGGCATCTCTGAAAGAAGCTAGCCTAGTTAACAGTAACCATGCTTTGGTGGACTGCTAGACCATGTGAGAAGTCCATGGAGTTCCCAGGATCCTCACCACTTACCTAGAAGCTACAGCAGTCATGGTAAATAGAAGAATTTAACTCTCTGAAAAGAGTCAGCAGTGACCCTTAGAAATTTTACTTCATTTTAAAAATAATGATATTTTGAAATATTTTCACTTGAGGTAAAAACAAATTGCATTAAGTCTAGCTCAATTTTGCCAGTGTCTATGCAACATCCCATTCTTCTAATAATGGACCACTTCCCTTTGGCCACAGGGTGGGCA